AACAGCAGCTCCTTCTCGGTGGACGATCCGGACGCCGGAGCCGCGGGAGCTGCGGGAGCTGCGGCTGCAGTGAGTGTCAGGGCTCCTTTCCTCCCCGGGAAGCTGGGCAGAGAACGGGGCGAGTCCCTAGGGGCCCCAAGGACAGAGCCGGCGCGAAGGTGACGGTTTCAGAGTGGCGGGGCTTGGCTGGACCCGGGAGGGGCTTTCTGATCAGAGGGACCCTGGTGCTGTGGAAGAGTCCTCTGGTGTGGTAGTGAGCTCCCTGTTAGGGGACGCATTCAAGCCCGCCAGGCAGGGTCCCGGGCTTTGCCGCCAGCCTGGGATAAGTGCTGAGGGTTTTTAGTGCTTGGCACTTGGTGTGGGGAATCACAGGCTGCAGTAGGAAGTTCCCGCAGGATCCACATTCCTGGCCCTCCGCCCAGCGCTTGGGAGGCTGGAAGGTGGGTTTGGGCATTTCTTTCCCTGCAGGTGGCTCATCATCAACCAGCAGCCACCCTGCCCCGTAAGCTGGGTGCAAACTATCTGTACTCAAGAGGGATTCTCCAGGGCTTCCCAGCCCCAGGACTCTGGCATGCATCTTTAACCCCAGATGCTGGAGACCAGTCTCCCCTTTTCTTACAATGGAAGGTTGGAAATGGGAGATCCTGAGGGCCCATGTCCCTGCTGTCATCCCCTATGGGTTGCAGGTCATCTCCTAGAGTGTCATGTCACTGTGCTGAAAGGGGCATGGTCCCAGAAAGAGCAGGGACTTGCTCAGTGACCCACAGCTGCTGGAGTCCAGGACACGGGTTTTCCAGCTGGGGTCCCAGCACTGCCCCATCCTGCCTGTGAACCAAGGGGCAGCTCTGCCAGGCTGCTGCAAACCTTCAGCTGTCCAGGAGTGACCCCTGCGTTTGAAGGAAAGGAGTGAATTCACTGGGAAAGCTTTTCTGGAAGAAGCCACCATTTGAGCTAGGTGCTAGGTTGATAAGATGGCCAGGTTTTTCCCAGGTGAAAAATGAGTGGGGTTCTCTTTTTTTTTTTTTTTTTT